CCCCCCGGGGGCAGCCATTCAAGTTGGTCAGAGAGCGGCAGCGCCCAATGCGGGCTCCATCTGACCAACTACCAGGGACCCCCACTTCACTCCAGGAGGGACGAAACCAGAGGGAACCAGAAAATGTACCTCCACAAAGTCATCCTCTTTGGAGTGTGCTAGGGCATTAGAAATGCTAGCAAGAGCCAAACCACAAAAGTATGGCCCAGATCATGCTCCTAAGTGTCAGCATTTGACTATGTATTCATCACATTAACTTGATTACTTTTCATGACTGCTCCTTCTTAAGACTTCTGAACCCTCTAAATTCCACTGACGTGGAAAATTCTTCACTGATTTTTCAGATCATGATTCCTCTCTGGTTTCACTTTTCCAAAATAAGTTTTAAAATATTTTCACCTTGAACCACTTTTTTGTTACTTAATTCTTGTTTTACTATATGTATTTTATTTATATGCAACATCTTGGGGTCCTGTAAGAATTTTTTTACTGACCTCCTGGCAAAATAACACCACTACAGTTGAAATCTAAACAGCAAATATTTTTGAATTAAGCACACTCCAGAGGAGAAGGTTGACACATAAAAGGAAGAAGATCGAAGTCACTTTGAATAAAAACTACCAGAACTATGAATTATGGCTCATCTATTCAGAATACACCTAGGGTCCTAATTCTCATTGACATTAGCAGCATTAGGTCCCTAAATACACACATGGGTGCAATTTGATGACCTGGACTGTAAACACTTACTGAAAGTCAGGGGACTTAAGTATTTAATATCCACTTCAGTTTGAATAGTTTGAACTGGGGCATGGGGCAGTGGGGGCAGGAATCTTTCATTCAGTCAATGTGAGAAATTATTTCAAAGTTTATAACTGTGCATGAAGAATGACGAAATTAATACAGGGATTTAACACACATAAATGACAAATCAACCACCGAAGTGAAGCAGAAACAACGCCATAAGTACATTTATGATAAAATTGCTCTTACCTGAGCATTTCAGACTCCGAGCCAGCTCAGTGGCCATCACCTGAATTATCAGACCAATGCGGAGCCTGAGCATCTCCACAAAAAGACTAGGCTGCGACCGGACGTGCATCGCCAAGTACATAATTATTTCCTGTAAGGACAAATCCATAAGGGTACCCACTGAGAGTGGGTCACCTCGGCTCCCCCAGCCACAGAGCAAACACTGGTGCAACACTGGGCACAGCTGGAAGAACCCATTTTACACATGCTGCATACCTGTGTCAGCACAGCAAGACTGATGTCTTGGCCGCTCGCTTCATAAATAAGATCTGTGAGCTCCTCAGGTGGCAGTGGGCTGCAAGAAGGCAAACCACAGTTAGTAGTGACTCGGGCACCTGCTATTAACCTCTCAAACCAGCGCCAGAACCAAGTCACCCAGAAACGTCTTTGCACTGCAAAGTTTGCCTACGATTCTGCCCGGGTGGCTGCAATTCCTTCTGAAGGTGAGCAGTAAGTTTTAAAACAAGATGACAGCAGCAGAACGGTACCGGCAGGAAGCTGCAGGGCAGGCTGCTTCTGTAACCAAGGCAGCGCTTCAACTTACGTGGTAATGATTTTCTCGCGCGGTTCTGGCGGCAGGCCCACTGTGAGTTGCTTCTGGTGTGACAGCAGGTCTGTGCATGCCTATCAGAATGCGACAGAAAGCACGAGACCTTTCTCTGAGTGACATGGAAGTGATACAGCTTTTAATTCCCTCAAATGAAGCATTTCTTTAGCAATTTTAACATGCATTTCTATTATTTACCAAACGTAGATTCAGCAGAATGGTGTTTAGCTGCCAAAGATCCCCTGAGGTCATCAGGGCTATGAAAGTCTGCCCAGGCTGAAAGCCTGCTTCCCTGCTCTGCGAAATCAGCAACATAATGATTAGGGAATCCAGTGAGGCTGGCAGATCAATAAAGGACTTTATCCTTTATTATGAGATAAATGTTTGTTCTTTATTTAAGACAAAACCCATTTTGAATCAATGAAAAACTTAGTGTATTAATGTATCTCTTAAAAAAGTATCTTAAATAAATATATCTCTTTAAAAAAATACAAACACAGAACATACGACATCACATTCCTGAATTAGCCACCCTGATACACTCTGAAATTGGTGCTTCCTCCAGTGTTTTACTCTTTTCTATCGACCTCCTTCAAAAGTGGGTGTTCAGTTTACCTGCTTTAGCATCCTGAATCAAAGACCTCACAGAGCAATGTTGATCTGATTTTTTAAAGTCTATTTTCCCTCCCTTAATGTGGAACAAAACAGATCATCTCTACTCTCTTCCAGCCCAATTCACTGTCACTATTTTCGTAACTTAACATGCATGGCTTTCTGTGAGCATGCCTGTACTGCTCGTCTGTCACGTCTTGAGGATGGAAAAGGCTGGGCTTAATGAAGCACCACGCAGGGCAATCATCACAAATTGCTCCCTGCAGATATGACTGTCACTAAAATAGGGGATCCTAGACGTGACAGTCAAAGCTTTGAAAAAGGCCAGGAATGAGAGCAAGAGCTCTACAGAAACAGGCAGGTATAAGTAGGAAATTAAGCAAATCCTTAATAGAGTATTTGACAGGAAACATTTTTGTAATGTGCAAAATAAAATCTGTACCCTTACAGGGGATCTTTCTTGTTACCATTAGCCGCAGATATTTTAATGCCTCCGTACATCCACATACACTCACATAGCAGACTGTCTACCCAATGGGATGGGTATCACCAGGTCATGTTTTAGCATCATTTCTAGCACCATGACATACTGGTGCTCCACAAGTGTTTATGTTGCCACAACAGCAACAGCCAGTTAGCAATGACAACTACAGCTTTTAAAGCACATGATTAAGATTCTCTGATTAACAAAGACGAAATGAAGCCTTCACAATCATTTACTGTGTGTCCTTCTGAATGAATGGATTGAGAGCAGCCCTGAGGAGAAGGACTTGGGAGTGTCGGTTGACAAGAAACTCAACATGACCCCACAATGTGCGCTCGCAGCCCAGAAGGCCAACTGTATCCTGGGCTGCATCCCCAGCAGCGTGGCCAGCAGGTTGAGGGAGGTGATTCTGCCCCTCTGCTCTGCTCTGATGAAACCCCACCTGGAGTCCTGCATCCAGCTCTGGAGCCCCCAGGACAGGAAAGACATGGACCTGGAGAGCAGCTCTGTGGAGAGGGACCTGGGTGTCCTGGTGGACGACAG